GGGGCTTGCCGTCGTGGAGCCACTCCACCGCCATGGTGGGGTCGCCGATGGGGGTCAGCCTGCACTCAAAGTGAGCGGGGCCGAACTTCTTCATCCGGACGGACGTCAGCTTCTTCTTGAATTGCGGCTTCTGCTGCTTCTCTTTGTCGTAAAGGTCTCCCTCCTCCCACTGCTCCTGGCCGTAGCGGAGGTGCAGGGGCTCCAGCTCGGGGGCGGCGATCTCTTTGGCCTTGTAGGTCCCTTTGGTGATGATCAGCTTCCTCTCGGCTAGCGGTGCGGCAAAGTCCGTTTCCACGTTGACTCTGCAGCGGGTGGTGTCCCGGCCGGCTCGGTTGATGGCCGTGGCCGTGTACCAGGCGCTGTCCGAGCCCGACGCCGACGGGATCTGAAACTTGGCCTCTCCCTTGGTGCCCTCGATCCTGGCAAATCACATCAACGAGGAACCTGAATAAGGGAACGGCACTCATCCGGGAAATCATCATCACAAAACGTTGAACCGAGTCCACTGGAATCTTCTCGCTTGCGAGGGACATTTCACCTCGAATCCAAGAGACACCTCGGGTTCTGAGGTTTCGGCGCGGAGTCGGCGGTGGACGCGTCACGCGCGTTGTAACGTACCGCACGTCTGACGAATTGCCGTTCGGCAGACCCATCGGTCGTTCCCCAGCCTGGTGGCCACTTTCCTCGCAGATCTTTTGGGGAGCGAAAATGCGATCGCGTCAGACTCCCCCTTCCGAATTTGACAGTGAGGGCTGCGACTTTTGGGCATACCGTCTGTTTACAACGGTGCTCTCAAACCCGTGGCCTGTGGACCGTGTGCGGCCCTAACTGACATCCAACGTTTTCCTTTTGCCCGATGCGTTGTGCATTGTGTATATGTGTGTGTGTGTGTGTGTGTGTGTGTGTGTGTGGGGGCGTGTTTTTGGAAACACTTTGAGGCTCCCTTAGCACAGGCTAATGATAGCTTTTGGCAAAAGCCGCCGTGAAGAGAAGGGCCAATTTTCGACAAGAACCGGAGACGGCATGCTTTTGTTGCTGAGCTCGGGGCCACTGCGGCGCTGCTCAAGAAATCGGATGTCAGAGACGCGACCGACCCAACGGCCTTCTTCGCGTCCCGAAGAGCCGTTGCAGTTGCCGTTATTAGTCAAGACCGAGAAGGCCGCAAGAGTTATTTCGAATCCTTGAGCCCCCGTTTTTGACGCGGCCCAGACCCAGCCAGACTCCCACCGAGGTCGCGTTTGCGAGTCCCGCTCCGCCCCAAAGATCGTCCCGCCAACGTTCCCCTTTGTGGGAAGGGGCCGTCCCCTAGTCACACCCGACGACGACAGCCCCCGCGCGAATAGCGCGAATCGGCGGCCCGCGTTTGGAAGGGAGGCGGCCTTTTGGATCGGAGGCGGAACCTTCCGAAGAAGCGAGATGCGTCGGGCGCGCGGGGACGTCGCCGAAGAGGCCTACTTGATTTGCGGGTGCTTGTGCGGGGTGACGATGTCGCTGTTCTTCAGCCACACGATGTCCGGCACCGGGTTTCCGATGGCCTTCACGGCCAACTCCACCAGAGTTCCCCGTTTGACCGTGATGTTCTTCAGCTTCTCCACGAAACGGGGACGCGTCGAGCTCTCTTGGGCTGCGGGCGGAGAGGATGCAAAAGGTCAAGGGGGGCGAAACGGGCAGACGAAGGCGGGCCGCGAGGGACGCTTACCTTCCACTGTCAGAGTCACCGTGATGGTGGTGCGGCCGGCCCGGTTGTGAGCCACGACCGTCCACTCTCCGGAGTCCTGCGGCGCGGCGGGGACGATGATCATGGACTGAACGCCGTCCTCCTTCACCACCATCTTGTGCGTGTAGTCATTGACGACTTGTTGTCCTGGAAGAACGCGGGCGGGGGAGGTCGGTTGTCAAGCGCTGAGCCTTTCGTACTCGACTTCAAGGGACAGTTCCGCCGTTTCGCCCTTCGTTGAAAATGTTTTCGCTTGACCCTTTTTTCAATTCAAATAAGAGACTGATTATCTGATTGACACCCCGCGGAGGACGAGAGAGAGACGGAGAGGACAAGTCGAGGTGGATTTTTTTTCACTTGGTACCCTTAGCTTGGTTAGCATGCGACGTTTGTTAGTTCACCGTGCCATTTCGATAGCGTAGTCGGTGACTTTTCTTTCCTTTTTTGTTTTTTGTCTTCACATGCCGCCATTTTTTGTTGTTGTTGTTGTTGACTTGGGCACACTGCGAGTATACTTGCGGAAAGGCGGCGACTCAAGAAGGGCGCGGCGCTCACCGTTGTGGAACCAGTACGTGTCGGGCATGGGTCTGCCGACCACCTTCAGGTCAAATCTGGCGGTTTGCCCCTCGGAGCATTTGAGCGAGGTGGGCTTCATAACAAAGACGGGCTTGTAGAGTCTCTCCAGCTGAGCCTCGTCCGTGTCGTCCAGCCTTCGGGCGGGAGAAAGTCCGGGAGAACGGCTGGGAGAGCGGCTGGCGGGGCGGCCCGGGGAGCGGCTCGGCGAGCGGCTCGGCAAGCGCGGGGATTCCGACCTGTGGACAAACGAAGCCCCCCCCCGCCCCCGCCGCCGTCAGGCCAACTGGCTTCAATGCGCCCGAAGCGTCTGGGCTTGTCCCGCTACGTACTGGATCCTCTGCATGGCCGGCTGCGGCGTGTATCTCCGGGGCGACGCGCTTCCGGAAGGCTCCACGTAGAGCTTCCCCGAGCTGACGGCGTTTCCCTTCACGTTGCTGCCGAAGGCCGTGTACACGCCCTCGTCCTCGGGCAGAACGGCGGGCAGTCGCAGGATGGCGCGCCCGTCTTGAAGAACCTCCAGCTGGTAGCGCCCGCCGGCGCGGATGCGCTCGCCGTCTTTGTACCAGGCCATCTGTTGGGAGCCGCGCAAGGACTTGACGCTCCGTACCGCGTTGACGCCGAGCCGAATGACGACGCGCCAAACTTGGCCGGGGAGATTTGTGGCGATCGGCCTCAAAACTCAACGCTCGGTTCGGAAGGCCTTTTCCGCCGAGGCCAATGGCAGCGCGCGGGCGGGCATCCGGTTCTCACCTTGGGCAGCGGCGCGCCGGCGATCCTGCAGTGGAAGGTGACGCCCATTCCCTCCGCGATGCGGTAGTTCTTCACCAGCGTGTCAAAGGTGGGCGCCATGGCCTCGCCGTCGGGCGCGCTCACCATCTGCTCGCCGTCTTCCCGCAGCAGTTCCGCGTAAGTGATCCTCAGGATGCGGATCTCAATCTCCTGGATGATCCGCTCTTCAAAGGCCGAAATGAGGAACTCCTGCAGGACCGGCCCAAAAAAAAAAAAAAAAAACCCCGCAAATAAATGCTCGCTCGGGCACTGCTCAGAACGCATCAGACGGCGGTGGCGAAAGCGCTCGCGCTCCGGCGTGCAATCCGAGACTTGGCGGAGAGCGCAACTCATTGAGAGCGAGACCGAGAGATCAAAAGGAGACGAGTCGAGACCGAGACGAGGCCGACGTGGGAAAAAACCCTTTGCAAAAGCAAGCCAAAGAAGATTCCGTCTTGAATTGGACTTCTCTTTGGCTGACATGCGACAGCCCCACGAACGCACACACGTGCACACGCTGCCTGCAACTCTTTGATGCAAAACTCTCAAACTCGTGTCGAACTCAATTCTGGCAAGCAATGAATGCAAGCGCAACGCGGCCGCTGAGGAATTGACCCGAGCGGAGTCGCTTCCGAAGCCACGTCCGCGGGCCCGGCGAGTACCGTTTCGGAGGTGAAGCTCATCGGGGGTGCTCCTCTCTTGTAGCCGCTCACGTGGGCGGACAGCTCCTCGACCGTCGTCATCATCGTCGTCGTTGTCGTCGCCTCCTCCTCCTCCTCCTCCTCCTCTGCTGTCGCACCCGTCGTCGTCGTCACTTGGCTTTTGTACGCCGCCTCGTGCAGCGCCACGTAGGCTTGGTAGTCCTCTACGGACGACGGCGAAAAGAGCGCTTGAACGCCCGCTCGGCTCGGCCTCGCTCCAGCGCGCGGCCCGGACGGGCGTTACCTTCCTCCAGAAGGCTGATGGAGGCCGAGGCTTCCCCGTGAGAATTCTTGGCGAAGACGGAGTATTCGCCGGCGTCGTCGGCAAACGTCATGGAGATCTCCAGCTGGCTTTCGCCCGTCTCTTTCTTGTAGGTGACTTTATATCTAAAAAGTGGCAAAAGTCACCTTCCGTCTGCCCGGCCGGTCGGGACGACCGCCGCGTCCCGCCGCCTTTGCATGTCAGCAACGCAAAGGCGGCGGGACGAGGTCGAGGGGAAACCGTTGACCGTTGCGCCGCAATTGTTGGGCAGCTTTTTTCTTTCCTTTTGCATCGGCGCCGTTGCTCTTTCTTTGCCTCGTTAGCGATCGAAACCGTCGACTGGCTGGCGGCGGAACATCCCGACGGGAGTTTTGCCTGTGCGGTGATGACGGGGGAGCGTGTGCGCCCGCGGGCCCGAACGCGCCGAGCGGGACGGAGTGAGCGGGCGCAGACGCCATTTTGCCATTTTTACTTCCTCTTGACGTTTGCTTTCCAAACTCAGCGCCGGGACCCTCGGTCGCGGTTTCCTTTTCAATCGTTGCAGATTCGTTTTGCTTTTTTTTGTCAAGCGCAACCTCACAGCGCAAGTCATTTGACAGAAAATCAACACGTGCACAACACAACTCGCAAAGTTGCCCGCGGAAGGGGCCGGCCTTTTTCTTTCTCTCTCTCTCTTTGAAATATCACAGCCCCCCCGCGTGTTTGGCGTCGTACCGGTATCCGGTGGAGAGCAGAACGCCGTTCTTCTTCCAGACGACGTGCGGTCTGGGGCTGCCCCCCACCCGGCAGCAGAAGGCCACGGCGGCGCCCTCCACCAGCTTCTGCACCGTCGGCTTGCGGATGAAGAAGGGGGCGGCGGCCTCTCCGACGCTCGCCTCCGCGGCAACGCTGACGCACGGGACACGACGGGTCAGGAACCGAACGGCGCGCGCGCCCGCACGGGACTCGACGCGAACGAGCCTCCGAAACGCGACGGGCGGGCCGGCGTCGCGCTCACCTCTCGACGGCCGTCGTCTCCTCTCGGCTCTCGGCTTCCTCGGAAACTGCAAGACACGCGCGAGACGTTGAAGGCACCGCGTGGGCGGGGTCGCGCCGCATCGATGCGGCCCCACCCCGCCAATTCGACCCCAAATTGACCGTCGCTCGTTGCGCTCGGGCTCGTTTGGCCGCGGGTGTTCGTTCATTTGAAACAAATCGGCAGGAAAGTCAGCAGATCGGAATTCGGAGGGAAAAAAAAAACGGGAGATTTGCTTGACGGATTCCGATGAATGAAAAGAGTTTCCGATCGAATCGACAATCTGACGATTGCGTCGGACTCCGTGAACTGAATGAAGGTTCATATTTAAGTGGCCATCAAATCAAAACGCTTGGGAAGACTGAAAGGAAAGAAAACAATGCTTTCGTTTTCCGCCAAAGACAAATAAATGTCTTTCTGATTGTGAAAGCACGAAAGAAACAATTTGACATCAAATATCAAAGAGCAGCTCCATTTCAACGTTTTTCAAGAGTGGCTTCTTTTGAAGAACACAATAAGCCCTCTCCCCCCCATTTAATTGCATGCTCGGTTAATACTTGTCGACCTTTTGATGAATGGAATGCAAAACGCGCGTGATCCCCAAGTGCGTTTGCTTTTCATGTCGGTGCGTTTGTTGTCGAATGGCAACGAAGCTTTCGGTGGCCCACTTTTGCAAAAAAGCAAACACAACGAGGCAGTCCGAGACTTCCCGCAAGACGACCGACGTTGCCGATTGAGCGAAAGGGCCCGACGACCAGCTGCTTTTCGGGCGGGGGGGCCGGCACGAGCTTCTTGAGCGACGACGGGCGGGCGTCACCTTTGACCAGCAGGTTGCAGGACGTGCTGACGGCGCCGGCCGGGCCGGCGGCGGCGCACGTGAAGCGGCCGCTGTCCTCGGCGAAGGCCTCGCGGATCAGCAGCCACGCGCGGCCGTCCTCGTAGCCCATCTGGAAGTCGACGGAGCTCTCCATCCTGTAGTCCTCTCGGAACCACGCCACCTCGGGGGCCGGCCGCCCGCCGAAGCGGCACTCCAGCGTCACCGACTCGCCTTCCGTCACCGTCGCGTCCTTCAGGCCCTGAGGGAACACGCGCGCAGGCTCACGCCGGGGTCCCGGAGGCCCGTTCCCCGCCGCTCTCGGGTCGACGGGCCGGGCCGTGCGGCATCCGGCGCGCTGCGCTTTTTTCAAAGCGACTCCTGCCGCCCTATTTGCAAGTGAGCGTTCGGAAGCTTCTGCGCTGACCGACAAAGAGGTGTCAACATGATTATCTGAAGTAGTGCTGATTAGAAAAAAAAATATTCAAGCCATTTTCACCTCACGTTCGACCAAATGTTGAGAAATATCAAAGGGAAGGGAAAAAAAAAAAAGAAGAATTTTCATTGGTGTGAGCAGCAGAGGACAGCCGAATTGCAAGGCCGAGTTCAAATGCGAATGTTGGCTTCAAAGGCCAATTTGGGAGCGGGCGGGGGGGGGGAAGGGAGGTGTCATGAAGCCCTCGATGCAAAATCGGCGTCAGACTTGCGAGGGCGGCTCGAAGCCGCGATCCTGTCTCGAAAGGCCCCTTCAAAGCCGGCAACCCAACGCAAAGGCTTCCTGCTGTCTTGGACAAAACAGTTTTGAAAGCCTCGCCCTCAGACAGCCCCCCACCCCCCCATTTTGAAGGCCGCAAGTGGCCTGCGAGGCGCATTCCCCGGCGAGGCCAAGAAGATCAAGTACTTACGGCAAGCAGCGTGGGCGGCACCACCGCCTCCTGCTGGTCGCCGGGGGGCACCGCCGCCGCCTCCTGAGACAAAAACGAGGTCGTGCTCAAAGGTCGCGCCCGCGCTTTGATTCAACTGCTGAAAAATGCGGCGGCGCGCAAACCAACTGCAACGCGAAGGAAGGGCCCTCTTTGAGCGGTTCCCGGAAACCCACCTGCGGCTCCCAGTCTTCAAACTCCTCCTCGGCCTCGAGGCGCGTCACCCGCGTCTCGACCCGACTCTGATACGCCGGCGCCTTGAAGGGGGGCGCCACGCGGACCTCCGCCGCGGTCGCGGCCGCGGCCCGGCGGACGGGACTGGGCGACTGGACGGGCTTGATGACCTTTCTGGGCGCCGAGGGCGACGACAGCTCTTTGTGCAGGGCGGCCATGGCCGAGCCCGCCATCGACACCTGGCCCGGAAACAACCGTCAGCGGCAGCCAAGACCTTTGTGGGGGGGGGGGCCTTTCAAGGCTGCCGCTCGGGAACAACGCAAAGCCCCTCAAAGGCTGCCGCTCGTTGACTCAACGAGTCTGGGCCATAAGTCGGCTCGAAAGCGTGCATTCCGAAGACGGTCGCCTC